CTCCTCCATCTTGGGTTGTAGCATGTTTCTTCTGTACAAGTAATTCATTACCCTGCAGTGATTCTGATGTTGGCGAGCAAAATGCTGCCATGATTAAGGCCTATTGACCTTATTCTGACAATTTCAGTATCACGGCCATTAATTTTGTAAATAGTTTGTGCTGAGTATTCCGTTCTTTTGTTAAGAGCTTTAAAATTTTGCATTGGCAAGTGTTCATGTTGTTTAACACAAGAGGGTGCCTTCATTTCTGAGTTTGATACCGTACTTGCATATTCTGTCTTCTCTTTTGGGTGGCACTCTTTCAAGATCAAATACACAGATCATGAACCAATATTAAATTTAAATAAAGCCATGTACTTTGTAAAAGTATACATTTAGTCAGCTAAATATAGCTAATGTTTTTTCCAACCCCTAGCTTGTTTTATTGGAAAACCAATGTAGACCAACTGACACGTAGCTAGTAGGGTAGTTTGAAAAAAACCATGACCATGACCTCACTAAGCTATAACCCCAACTACTGAGAATCCTAAGTGTTCTTCTACAGTTCTAGTAAAACAAGTTTCCTCAAGAAGTAACTCAGCGCATATAGCAATAGTGTTGATATAGCATATATAGCAAAGCAACAGACCTAAGTTCCCCTGTAGCACATGCTCACTCTTTCCTTTACGCCCTTCCTCTCATATGACTACGCTGGTTCTTGACTTATAGGCCTAGCTCTGTCACACGAGGCAAGTAGAAAGTCCTCTGTGGCTAGAGCAACTCTCAGCATACACAGGGCTGTTTTTTTACTGCTGGCAGCTGTACAGAGTGGAGAGGGAACAAAGGAAAAATTAATATGTGCTGTTGGGGAGAGTATCATTAAAGCATGCCTGGACACAGGGGCGTCCTTAGGGTTGGTGTCACCCAGTGCTGTAACACTTGGTGTCACCCCTCTGATGATCCCCGCAGGATGGATCAGATCTGCGGATTGAGCATAATGGATCGGAGTCCAATCCATTATGCTCCCCAATTCGCAGATCCGATCCATCCTTTCGGGGATCGTCAGCTTGCAACCTATACGGGTTAACTGATCTCTTAGATCTGCGGATTGGGGAGCATAATGAATCGGACTCCGATCTATTATACTCAATCCGCAGATCCGAACCATCTTGCGGGGATCGTCGGCTTGCTTTAAAACGTTTCTTTTTGTGGATTTTGTGGAGAGGGTCTGGTGTCACCCCCCCGTGCGATAGGTGTCACCTGGTGTAGTGCACACCCCCCTAACCTGCCTAGGGGAGCCACTGCCAGGACAAATTTCAATACTGTGTTGGTCACTGTCTTTGCTGAAAATTCTGACGAGGAAGCAGAGCCCTGCTTCAACTAAGTAGGCCACGTCCACCAGAGATGCAGTGCAGAAAAAGGCATGGTCATCAGTAAGTCAGTAATGGAGATATCAGCTGCAGGGAGTCCACAGGCTATACTGGTGACCAGTCCCTTGCCATTTGCCTGGCTTTTTAGGCACACCTGTCAGAGTTCAGTTCCTCTTTAAAGATGACGTTTAGGTATGGCAATTTTTACATAGCTACATTGGTCCAGATTGAACCAATGTAAGATTGTATATGCCATACCTGTGGAATCTCCATTGAATTTGGAAATAACTGTAGTAGACCCCGCTACTACATTGATCTCCATTAGCTTCCAGATCCTGTGCCAAGCATCTGCCCTTGTGCTTGCTCGATACAGGTGCCATTTAGGAACACTTTGCATTTTCTCAGTGAATGCAAAGTGTTCTCTAATTGGACAAGACTGAGAGGTGTAGACGTCAAATCTCCACCTCGTCCATTTAGAGAGCACTTGTATTCATTGAGAAGATGCAAAGTGTTCTCTGAATAACACCCTTTCAAGCAAGTGACCTCCTGTGTTCAGTAAGAAACAGGACAGCCACTTGGCACAGGTCTCAGAAGTGCTTACTACTAGTGTAGTGGTGCCTACTACAGTTATTCCACTTCCGCAGGGATCCCGCAGGTATGGCACATACATACTTAAATAGGTCCAAGCAGAGGCCCTGCCTTTATTTGACACATCTTGTTCTAAAGGGTTATGGAAAAAAAGTGGGTCATAGGCCACCAGAATCTCTAAATGGAGCGTAATATTTTTATGGAAGGCTCACAGATATCTGCATACTATGAATAAGCACATTCTAGATACAATGTTAGTTTTTCTCTTTTCACTAATCAGCCTGATAACTGGGATACATTTGAGTACCTGCTCAGCAGTAAGCTTTTACATCTTTATTTTACAAGTGAGCAAATCTAAAAACCATGTGTACAAATTTGTAATGACATACTAGGAATATTCTACAAGAGCCTGTTGACAAGGGAAAGCAACCAGCAGCATAGAATAGACCAGTTCAGTCAAAGAAGGCTCACAGCTATAGGGAAAGGCAAATAAGAGACAGGGTGTGGCACATAATGTGCAGAGAACAATGGATATGCATTCCAAAGATTTTGGAGCAAACAGTCAGGTATCAAGGAAAGACACAACTAAAAAAAAGGGACAGCCTACAGGTTGCCACACATGGCTTGATTTAAGCCACCATAGACGGTTCGAATCTCAGCTGGTTCAGAAGGGACCTGTAACGGACCGCCTAGCAGCACCACTAGCACTCCACTGGTCAGGTGTGCCCAGAGCGCGGAATCTAAGCCCCAGGGTACTTGTTCACCAGAGCCCCTGATGGTGGGGATGGACTTGGAGTACCCCGAGACCAGGTCGCGACTACTGAGCACACCCGTCAGTGGTAGGGGTGTTCGCCAGGGGCTCCAACAGGGGAGAGCCTGATATGAGGAGGTCGGGTGACCCCGATAGGATGGATGGATGGATGGCTGAGCAAGTGCGAAGTCAGACAGGCCGAGTCAGTAACAGAGAGGACGGTATGGTACAAGGCAGCGGGTAAAGAATCGTCGGGTCGCACGCCAGGTCAGCAACAGCAGGTCAGATCTAATGAGGGGCATTCAGAAGAGAGGTCAGGCAAAGCAAGGGTCTGGGCAGGAGAAATCAGCAGGTCAACTAGGTACAGGTTCACAGGATACAGGATGCAGGTAAGACCAGAAGGCACTGAATGACAGCTCAGGGCCATTTAAATATCCCGCCCTGCGCTGCCATTGGTGCCCAGCGGGCGGCCGCGCTTCTACTGCGCATGCGCGAACTCGAACCCCGCGGCCGGCCCGGACCTAGTGCCCGTGTCCCTGCACAGGGCGGCGCACAGCGCCTGCGCCGGGACCATCGCTGCGGGGATCGCGGAGATCCCTGACAGGACCACCTAAGGGTAGGCTGACTGTACCCAATTCGATTGTTGTACGATTAGAGTACATCCAGCCTGTCAGGAGGGATCCCGCCATCACTAATTGTCGGTTAAACTTCAAGGCATTTATGGTGCCATAATTGTATGCAATAAAACACAGAGATGTATTCACTTATGAAACAACAAGCATAAAAATAAAAGACTTAGGTATTTAAAGTGTCTAAAGCTATTTTTTTTCTTTTGAACAAAGTGGTGAGCAGTTAGAACCCCCATTAGTATGGGGGCATATGCAGCACCCCCTGTCACAGTAAAGGCTGGTTGGCACTTCCAGAGGCACAGATAGATTAGCATTTCACCCCAGGTCAGTGGGTAAAATGGGGACTAAGACAGAACATTGGGTGCCAGTCACTTTAGTCTTTCTATAGTTTTATTTCGGACTGGTTAAGGAGGTGAGGGTTAGGGGTCCCAGATACCATAGCAGATCACTTACAGATTTTCCAGATCAATGTCCAGCTTCACAGCATCAGAACCTTTAAGATGACTCTGCAACACTGTAAGCACATTCGTACATTTCACTGCATCTCCGAACTGAGTCACCAGGCCCTTCTGAGAGACCAGCCTTTTCCCTGGCTCTCTCCAACAAGGGGCCCCCCTGGGTCTTCACCTTGGCACAGGAGGACCTCACCAGGCAGGAAAGCTTCAGGACAGTTTCAGCAGTGTTAGGCTATTGGGCCTAACAGCAGAACTACACCCAGCAGCAACCTCCCAGGCCTCAGCCCAGAGGAAGAGAGCAGGCACATGGCCTGTCCCAAACATTTTTACCCCCCCGGGACTGGCTAAAGGAAATATGACCAAAGATACCAGTGACACCTACTGGCGACAGTGAGAAATCACAACCCAACTGAAGCTTATGGAAAAACCAGGTGAAGAGCTACACAATTAGACTGGGCTACTAAAACCCAGCCAAAAACTAAATTTAGGCTAGTAGCCCCTGTTAAGGACAATGGGGGCTACATATTTGCATGTAGTAAAACTTCCTTTTCAAATACACTGGTCTCTGCAGGATGTTTAGATGACCCAGCTGTGAAACAAAATAATTCTTTCACTTTTTTTCCTCTCATGAAGGACTCCCAGAAGATTAAATTAGGAGTAGTACAGGATAACAAAGACCTTCTTTTTACTTTAATGTAAACCTTTAGAAACATCAGAACTAAAAAAACTAAGCAAAAAGTATTAATAACTGTTATCACACAGGAAAATGCATGCAAAAACAGTATGTTCTCTGACATTCCTGATCTGCATGTAGCCAACTTGTCTTCAGTGGTGTCTAGTTTTGGGTCAGTGACTTAACAAGTAATAAAACCATAACAGCTACAGGAAACACTAGTGATTTAGCGGCCACTGGGGGGGAACTACAGCTCCCAAAGTGGGACACACTATCCGAAACCACCAGAAGTGACGAAGAGTAGCACCACCCAGATCTCCTCCACGAAGTAAACATTTAATACACTACCTCCTGGATGGGTACGTTTACAGGCTGGGTCTCTTTTTTATTTTTTCAAGCATAGTAGTAATGTTGTTCTAATTATTACTACAATCAAGTCTTTTCCAACCTTTTCACCCCAGAAGAATCCTTAAAATTACTTCCAGGTCTTGGGCAACCCCTACTAAAACCAACTCATTGGGGTCAATGGGAAAATGCACCTTACATTGGTGGTAACCAGGGGCGGACTGACCATTTGGAAATTCGGGCACTGCCTGAGGGCCCGGGGTCAGTAGGGGGCCCCATGAGATGCCCCTGGTACCTTTTTCATAGGCTTTTTTGAGTTTGGGCAAGGACACAGGGGCCCCATTATCCCCTATTGCCCGCTGGCCCCATGAGTTGTCAGTCCGCCCCTGGTGGTAACTGGGAAGAATGCCTCTGTTAAGCTGGTCCATACATGGATCGAAGTTAGGCTGGTTCAGCAAGAACCGGCCAAATTTAGATTTGTGTGTGGTCCTTTCTGTTCAGTGGTTAGACTGGCTTCCGGCGAATGGTCCTGCTGGAAGACCAGCATTTGATCATCAGTGCTTAGATGATCTGTGTAGTCTGACGGGGGGGGGGGGGCATTCCAACATTTCCACATTCCCAATGTCAGAATACAAAGACAGCGGGGAGGATTTCCCTGTCCACCTTGAATGTGTAGATGAGGGAAGTTGGCTCAGGAAGTAATGTATGGCCAGCTGTACAGTGGTAGTCTTAATGCCATCCTTACAGATAGAGAAAAAGATCTTTGATGTTATGGAGCTGGCTGTGGCACTGGAACCAGAACTATATAAGCATCATCAGATCGAAGTCAATCAGCTACAGCTCAAGGAACCCCCAGAAACCCCTTGAGGAACCCTGCTTGAGAATGGGTGCTATAGTCTATACCAGCGGTCGGCAAGCCGCGGCTCGCGAGCCACATGCGGCTCTTTACAAACTTAAATGCGGCTCTTCTGTGTGCCGGGCGCCCGCTCCCCTCCCTCCCTCCTCTCGGGCGGCCGCCCGCTCCCCCTCCCCTCCCTCCTCTCGGGCGGCCGCCCCAAAAGTCAGGACTCTGCAGCTGTCAGGATGTAGGTGGGGCAGCCAGGATGTAGGAGGGGCAGCGTGACGAACTCCTCTCCTCTCACAGTCCGCCCTGAAGACCAGAACAGCGCAGGAACACGGTGAGAGGAACGCGCGGAGCAAAGGTAAGTGAATTGACACAGGGGGGACTTACTATATGGGGGACTTACTATATGGGGGATCAATTACTATGGGGGATGAATTACTATATGGGGGATGAATTACTATATGGGGGATGAATTACTATGGGGGATGAATTACTATGGGGGATGAATTACTATATGGGGGATGAATTACTATGGGGGATGAATTACTATATGGGGGATGAATTACTATGGGGGATGAATTACTATATGGGGGATGAATTACTATGGGGGATGAATTACTATATGGGGGATGAATTACTATGGGGGATGAATTACTATATGGGGGATGAATTACTATATGGGGGATGAATTACTATGGGGGATGAATTACTATATGGGGGATGAATTACTATATGGGGGTGAATTACTATGGGGGATGAATTACTATATGGGAGATGTATTTTCAGTTTTAAAAATGTGGCTCTCAAAATAAATTTCAATCGTGGTTTTGGCGAGATTTGGCTCAGTTGAAAAAAAAGGTTGCCCACCACTGGTCTATACCAATGTTTCTCAAGCTTTTTTCAGCCAAGGCACCCTTTAAAATTATGGACAGTCCTGATGCACCCTTTAAAATTAAGGACAGTCTTGAGGCACCCCATTCTAAAATGTGAAAAACTATTCTAATAGATTTATATAATGCAGCAACATCCACACATATAGGACACCCAACATTAGAGGAGATTTATTCTTTCAAAGCAAATATACTTTTGCACACTGGTACTGAGTAATATTCCAGTGTCTCTCTTCTCCCTCAGTTTTTCTCCATCACTGAGCTAATGTGACCACAGCACTGATGGAGAGGGGCAAACTAGGATGCTGTACAGACAGCTGACATCCTCCCTATCAATTGATGATGTCATTGGTTGTCAGGTTGCAGGTGGCTAGAAGGTCATAATGGTGCACAATGAAAACCTGTGGCTTTGTATAACTAAAAGGCAGGCTTGTTCCACCAGCTGGCTTGTATACAGGTTTTGGGCAATTTTTGACATTTTGCCAAGGCACCCCTGAAGAATCCAAAGGCACCCTGGTTGAGAAAGGCTGGTCTATACAGTAGAATTACCACCATAATATCTGCTTTAACTAAAATGTTTAATTACCCCTTCCCTCTCCTATTCTTTAAAAAAGCTGTTTTAATATTCCCTGGAAGCTTGCACAGTGTATAATGAAAATGAGGTTGATAAGCAAGTTTTGCTTTTTCACTGGGGTAAAAAGGGGAACCTTGCTAATACTGTGCAACATCCATGCCTATGGGTATAAATGTAAATGTCAGACACTCTTTGTACAAGAGGACATGATCCTGAGAAGCAATAATTACTTAAAAATGCAGTTATGCTGTAACATGTACTTACCCATTAAGGAAATAAAAAACATTCCAAGTGGGTTAAATACTTACTAACGATTGGCAAGGGTTCGGATATTTCATTCCCTTTAGATCTTTAACCCCTTGGCGCTGGCGCCTCCCGGCCCTTTAAGGGTTTCAGAAGCCGGGAGGTGGGGCGGGGTTTTAAGGTCATGTGACCGCCATGATTCGCCGTCACGGTGGTCACATGATCAGGAAAGGTCCCGATCGAAAGAGGAGATCGGGACCTTTCTGTGAGTACCGGACATGTGTGCTGGAAGCGCACAGCGTGCGTTTTCTCAGCACATATGTTTTTGTCAATTGCACGCAAATGTGCGGCCGCTCGGCGTCAAGGCCCAGTTGCCGGGAGGCCGCACATTTATGTGTGGCCGGCATGAAGAGGTTAAAATTTTAACCTTTTGATGGCCCTATCAGCACCACCGTGCTCAATATCTTTCAATCTGAAAATCAAATTTGCTGGCCAGAAAATTGTCCCTTCAGATGCAGCCACTGTTTGTGTATGCTGACAGCCACAGGTTCCGGCTGTTAGAATACAAAGCCAACAGTAGGATATGCATCCATTCACGCTGTTAGAATGGATGGGGGAATTGACAGATTTCTCTTGCACATGGACATAATTTACTTATGTTGTTGTCAGAAAGATCCTGAGTAAATAGTTCTATAAAGACCTTGAGTAAAGGTGTGTAAACATGTATATGCGCAGATACATACAGAGAACACAACCTAGTCTCTGGTGATCGTATGTGCAATGACTTTAAAACTTACAAGCATGCAACCCATTTATTGCGTGTCTCTTTTGCAATAAAATACAACTACCTACCTGCTTGCAGTCTTCTGTGACATGTGAACTGAGCTGCGCGTGTGCAGCTCAGTTTAAATCACTGACACAGTCTCTGTGTGCCAGGACAAGGGACCCATGCGCATGCACAGGAGGTACATAATACAAAGCTGGTCAATGAAGATGCTTGAAGATTGACACCCAGAAGGGGCCAGGGAGAAGATCAGCAAGAAACCCCTTGGACTGTTAGAGAGGAAGTAAGTATTACTTACTGAGTAATGGATGGTGTTGCATGGGATTTCTAGCACTATATCCTATGCTTAATGCTACATTCACCTTTTTTTCTTTCTAAATTCCAGTTTCCCTATGTACCAATATACCATTAGTGGTACTGTAGCTCTTTTGCAGAAAAGAAAATCTTTCCCTATAGTCTAAGGCAGGACTCACATCTGCCTTTAGTTTCTTCTATAGAAAACTCTTTCTGATATCCATCCCATAGAATAAGAAAATTGTTAGTAGAGTGAGGATGTACTTCAACAGCTGACTTCATTAAAACACACCCTGCACCTGCCCTCCACCTCCAGTAGATTGCCTCCACCCACCTACTGTATGTAGTTACATCATTATCCAATGTAGTCAATGTCATTGAGCACAGTTCTCCCTCAATACACACACAGTGTCTTCCTCTGCTGATTGATCATTTTCTACCTTCTTCTTGCATAGATCATTCATTTGGCAGAGTGTGCAGGAGCTGACTGATCACATAACAGTCTATGTAGAGCAAGATATTGACCATACTCATCATACACTATACAATCTGATTGTACAATCTTCTTTAGTCTAGGTTCACACCTAAGTGGTTTCCGCAGTGTTTTGCAGAAATGCACAGCAGTCCATTTAACATAATTTCCTATGGAACACGTTCACATCTCCACATTTTCACCCGATGCGTTTTTTGGAAAGAGTCAGAGACTTTTTTAAATGCAAAAAGTTGCCTTTTTTGTTCTATAGACTTCAACGGAGACACTGCAGAAAAGCATGTCGTGCGTTTTACTGCATTTTTTAATGTGTTTTAATCTGCCTAGCAACAAGAAAAAAAAATAATGAAAAAAACCCCATCAAAAACGCATGTGCAAAAACACACTGCAAAAAGCACTGCAGAAACGGATCAAATTGCATAGGTGTGAACCTAGCCTTAGATCTACCAACAGCTATGTTGTGAAAGGGTCTACATGATTGGTTACAGAGTTTGTATATAGGACATAGGCGTGTCCTCTTATATATAGTTTTTCCCACAAATTCTATTGTGTCCACTCATTCCTCACTGGTTGCTCTGTTTACACCTGGATATAAATCAATAGACAAGCATCAGGCCCCATCTACAAAACTCGATTGCTTTTTACAAATTGAGCACTGGCTGACTACGATGCTTGCCAATAATGACCTGACATCTCAGTTATCGTCATTTGAGCACATTAGCCACTGTAAACCTCTTTCCCCCCAGACTTATTTCTCTCAAAGTCCTAATAGCTCCACTTACGTTTCCAAGTGAAAAAGAAACCTCAAAAGATAAGGAGGATTCATTACAAATCTGGTTTATGATATACTGACAGTTGAATCAGCCTTTAAAACCATCAAGGAGGTACATGGTCCCGTCTCATTTGGAAGATCTCTACCCATTGTTTCCTGGTACCTGTTTCCAAGGCTGCTCTGTTCTAGCGTACATTCTCTACAAATGGTAGAGGTACCCTATGCTCTCTAGGTTTTTGACAAAAGTTCTTAAATGTTTACATTCATTAGTAACTTGTGTCTTTCCTAAAGATCTGTGGAATGTCCTGTTAAACCTGAAGCCACCGGGCTTCACAACGTCTCAATTTAAAATAGCAACATACGGTATGTACTACTTGCTTCGAAAAACAAACAATAGCGAGAGCTTGGAACAACAGTTTATATCTGGCACCATGTATTAGTCTGCTTTTGCTGCCTCTCAAAGTAGATGTGAAAGCATACCCCTGTGTCCCAGAACATGGG